CCCACCGCTCCCTACCAACTAGAGTTTGTTTTTTTACTTTTTAATTAGTGCCCCGGGCACATCATTGGTCACACCATACACAAAAGCAGGACGGTTTTGTTTTGTCTTTTTTTATCTCTTCTAAAGTGCAAGATGCTATAGAACATCAACTTCCAGATTCTGTCTCAGCCACCACAACGGTTGCACTTTTCCTGGGCACGCGAGGCCAGTGTGGCACTGGAATGTCTGTCTGGTTTCAAGCCAAAAGGTCTCTATTGTCTATTTGGTAACAGGGTCTATATAGAGTTATTTTTTTAAGCGATGCCAATTTCGGGGAGGAGAATGCCAAAGCAGCAGTGAACCTCTTACACCCTCCAATAAATGTATTTTATAATCCAAAGCGGTAACCTCGTGACTGCGCTTCCCGGCCCAGGCAAGGCACGGGATTTGGTGACGGAGCGCGGCACAGCGCGGTGCCAGGGCCCTCACCAGCCCCTGCCCTGGGCCTGTGGCTGTTCCATCTGAACAGGGCTCTCACCTCAGTCCCTGGGGCCGGTCCCTGAGCTCACCCAGCGCTCCCGGAGGGGGCTGCAGGGGCAGGGGGCTGCAGGGGCAGGGGGTCCCCCGCAGCCACGGACACTGCTCAGGCTCAGCTCAGGGTCCGGCCCTGCCCACGGGGAAAAAATGCCATAGACAACTTCCATGGAATAGGTACCTTTAATTGCTCGTTACGGACACGAGCGTGGCAAACTCCACACTTCACTAGAGCTTCTAGGTCCTACAGGCACGGGCAGCTGTGAGTGTGCAGGCGCAGAGGAGGGAGCTGGAGAAGCGCTACTGGTGTATCTGGAATTCTCAAACAGGACAAAGAGCAGCAAATTTTTCCAGTCCAAGCAGCTAACAAACAAAAAATACTTTATTTGTGCATGCTTAACTGCAGGAACACACACTGAAAATGACAGAAACCACTGGATTTAAGAGATGAGCCTGAATCTGAACCTGGCTCCCCAAACTCCCCCCACCCCGTCCCAGAGGGACCCCATGGACACCCTGTCCCCAGCAGGGACCTTCTCGGGGGACTGTCACTGCCCCCCTCCCCGCTCAGCCTCTGCCCCCTCCAGCCAGCCCTGGGTGGGGGGGCTCGGACTCTCAGCTTTAAAAGGGACAGTTTTAAAAGCCATGTATTGAACAAAATGAATAAAATAAAGCACAAATTCACCTGTTAAAACATCAGACCAGTACTTCATTACACTGTAAATTTTAAAGTGAATTTTTAAAAAGACCTGGTTAGTTCGATAAGTATTGTAATTCTTAGTTATCTACAATGGAATTTGTCACAAAAATGCTGATTAAAATATTAATTTATATAGTATTTTCATTGACTTCAGATCAAAATAGGTAACTTTAGGGATAGGCAAATTAAAAATTGTATACACCAAACAACATAAATACTAATAACCGAGTTGGGCTAAGCTTTGCTGATAGGATTTGGTCTTGGTTTTACATGTTCACTGATAGCATCATTCCCACAGATGGACTTTGTTTTGTTGATGGTGTTTTGTTTTTCTTTTAGAAGCCTGTATCAATTTGGATCTGCCATCACAATCTGATTCTCAAGGTATTTAGTGCTTTTTCTTTAAAGCAGTTAAATACTGCATCCCAAGCTGTTTCTCAATCTGCAAACCACAGCACGTTCCTATTCAAGCCACATTGTCTTGTCAAGGGAAGTAAAACCTCATTTTCCAAAGGGTTTCCAAGGAGGCACTAAATAAAGGGAGAAACCTTTGTATACCCGACCTCCTGCGAGCGCGTACGAGGGAAGTGGACTCTGCTTCTGTTGTGTAACAGGAATTGCACATCTCTAACAAACACCGAAAGCAAACAGCAATTTGTACCATGGCAGTCATTTGGGAGATTAAGCTCTAGTGGAAATTAGATCACTAAATTCTAGTGGGATGGACAACTCCTCCTGGAAGTTCGTCTAGCATAAAATAAAAAAACCAAACAAAAAAATCCATTTAAACTTAGTTTAACAGCACAGCTTAACCATTGAATGACCAAATAAAAAATAAATACATTTATCACATCAGCTGCTACTAAGATTTGTTGTCTTACTTCAGGTTTACAGTTAGTTATATAAATATACCAACCCTTGCGTGATAGGAGGCCAAAACAAAGTGTATTCTGTTGATTTGGCAAATGTTTCATGACAAATATTCCAGAGTTTAATTAATTTCCATTAATTACACATAAGGTTCAGAAGATTCTGAATTGCAGCCTTATTATCTAGTATTTAGAGAAGATTTATTAAGCACACTTAAGTGATGTTACATAGATACACATTTCTGAAAGAGCCCTACAAAACTTTTCCCAAATGAGGTCACCAATTCAGGCACCAACAGACAGCAGAAAGAAAAACAGGTATAATTATCCGACATAGAACGACACTGTCAACTATTCAGTTAAGTGCCCTATTTCAATTATCCAACTTCTGCCTTCTTAGGTCTGATGTGACCAATGCCAGCCCATGTTCTTAAACCTATGGTACTTCTAGACAACGTATGTAAATTTACAGTATACAATTTGGATTCACCATGCATGAATACTTTGTGTGTAACATTTAATAAGCTCAATCTACATCCAGAATAATTTACATGAAAGGACAATATTTATTTAAACAGAGCTCAATGGGTAACCATGGTATCTGAGTGCATCCAGAGGAAAAAGGGGTCAAATGTGAATTCAATCAACGGCACTCCCACACTTTTACTGTTTGATCTACACTTCCAGTAACCACATACGGTGCCGTCTTGTGGAAATCTGCGAGGAAAGAAAAGTTTATGTTAAGAATGAATCTACAACTTGGGTATTTTCCACTCTCACTGAATGCCGTTACTTTTTCAAAAAAGTCATAGCAGCACAAAGACTAAATTTCAAAGCTCATTATCTCTGTAGTTCTGAAGGCAAATCCTCTCAGGCTATAATTTTGTAACGCATGAGAATCTCCTTTCAGTTCAGTTATAAAGGAGCTTTCATGGCAAAGATATCCAGATAAAGTTATAACAGAGAGGAGTCCAACACATCTCAAACTGATCCAACCTGAGTACTACCAGGACACAGAACTTCATGTATTTATGTAGGAGATGTGAAGAATCAGAAGTCAAGAAACTTGACTTTCTTTTTGCTGTAGACAGTATAGGCTGTGAGCTAGTACCTAAAAAATGTGAAGTGCGCTGTTTCTCAGGAGACCGCAAAATATTTCATATACACAAATCAATTTTGGACTGGGGATCAGTAGACAGTTCTGAGAAGTTTAGCCAAGGGGAATCACAAAGCCTCGCTGAGTAGGAAGGGCCCAGCAAAGCAACCTGTGAACTGACACAGCCAATTCCAAGGTTTGCCAACCCACAGTAACGGTTTAATCATCTTCAGCTCACAACTTCTCTTGGCCCCCTTCTCATCAGCTGTCTCCAGCAACTTAAGAGTGAAGTCAGAAACCCTGCATTTTTTACTAGACCTGCAAGTTTGATAAGGAAACCTCAGTAGCTGATTCCTGGGTCGCTGCTGACTTCACTTCCCCAGCTCTGACCTGCAGAGCAGCTCAGGGATAGGAACAGCAGAGACGGTGCCAGAGCAAAGCAGCTCTGCTGACCAGGGAGGGTTTGGTTGGCTTTGGTTTTGCCAGAGCAAGGGGGAACTAAGGTCCACCAACTCCCAGTAAGACCAACTAGGAAAGCCCAGGAATTCAAAGTATATTTTTTTCCTGGCTGTTTTGCTTTTTACTTTTTCTGGGCAAGCATTTGCAATACAGCACTCCCCAAATGGCTCCCCACTCACGGTGAAAGGATCCAGACCACTCTGGCAGTTAACGTCTTTATCCAACGTGCAACACTGGCAACAGACATGGAAAACTCCAGCACACTCAAAATTCCTATCTGTCCTTACTTGATTAAAATACTCAGAGCACTAAACTTCACTGGAATCCAGACATGCATGCCTAGCTTGGTGCTCAACTGCAGCTGGTGAAGATGGAGAAAAAAAACTATCTGTATCCCTGGCTGTGTACTTTGCAGAAAGCTCCACAGAACAATAAATACGTACCCAAAGAGGTAACAAAGTGTTCGTGCGCATTGAGGGTTTTCATGCATCGCTTGTTCTTGAAGTCCCAGACACGTAGAGTCTTGTCATCGGCACAGCTCAAAATAAATTTTCCCCCAGAGTGGAACAGAACGCCACGTACCCAGTTATCATGGCCCACCTTGTGCACAGGGAGAGAGCAGTGAGCAGATGCATGGTTTGAGGCTCAGCATTCTATAATTTATGCTATGGCAAACGGAGTGACTCCTTGCCCTCTTCCCACAAGGATAGCATTTAACTTTCTAAAAATGATTAGAACTCAAAGTTTATCTTCAGTTTCTATTATTACACCTCTATCAGCTCTACCAACAACCCGGGTTCCATTCCTTGGAGGCAAACAAAGAGGAGTCCTCATGTGATCTGCACCGATCCTGCTCCCGCCCCAGCACCACCAGCCCAAGCACAGCAGAACTTGATGTTTTCCAGAAGACAAAATTCAGCTGATTATTAGCATTTCTGCTACTTGTCACAAAAACTACACCACAGTAACTCCTGCATTTACACTATGGATTTTAATACTGTCAGTATTTCTTAGCAACAGCATGACCTGAAATACAGAAGCCATTAAAATGATACATTTCCAGTGCTTGTCTTATTGAAATAACTGGCTTCTCTTGAAAATATAAATATGTAGGATAATTCATTCTGTTAAAGCTGGTTTGACATACACTGCTATGACCACCAGAAAAACATCAGTGAACTTACAAGTGTCATAAGGCACATGCCAGTGCTAATGTCCCACATCTTAATAGTCTTGTCTCTGGATCCAGACAGCAGAAAAGGCCCAGGTTTGCCGCTCTTCTTAGTCTACAGAAAATTAGGTTTTTAGTTATGGCATATATGGGGCAGGGATGGGGGCAAGGGAGAGTGGAAGCAGATCCTTTCTGAGTGCTATTTCTCAGCAGCACATTTAGATCTCCCCACAGCTTACAGCTAATAAACACAATGCCGCAGCTGAGAGTCACAGGCACGTTACTAATACTGGAAGAAATAAAAAAACTATGAAAGGAATTAAACAATCTGTTAAAACAAATTGTTGTATGTCCTGCTGATGCAGCAAGCCAAATATTTTGAACCTGCACTTGCCTACTGCAAGGCATCCTCTTTTACTTGAGCTGTGTCTGCTATTAGAGTCAGACACCTCAGGGCAAAAGAGTAAGAAGCTCAGACATACCTTCCTGTTCTCATTCTCCATAAAAAGTGACAAAAAAAGTTTAAGAATTTTTGGAAAGTTCCTACTCTGAACTTATTTCTATTTGTAGTCATGCAAAGTATGAAAGAAAGACTTAGTTGTTGGAACTGGAGATGTTTCAGCTGAGAAGTTAACCTGAACCTGCTGCTGGCTCCCAGCTGCGCCCTGGGACGGGCTGTACAGGGGTGTGAGACCAGCAGAGGGCAGGGAGACGCCACTTCAGCTGATTAATCACCTCTGCTAGAGGAAGTGAACATCTGGAATTTAATCACTTTTAATTAAAAGATTATAAGGATCTTTTAAGGACGTAAGTTTGACTGAAATAATCTATAAAATCTATCACTAGACAAGTCCCTGTGTCTCCAGTGTCACTACTTTTCCCCTTGGGTGTGTGCATCCTTGCTGCAGAAGCTGCCAAGGCAGAAATGCTTGGGCTTTTTTTAACTAGAAATTGGAGTTAATTTCTTGTTGATTTCGTCTCCACTTTGTCATCCTTCAAAGGAAACTTTCGCAGACCTTTAGTAAGCCTTTCTTGAAGACTTAGTAACTGAACCAGAGAAGATGTACCTGTGACCACAGAAACAGGGCTTTATTTCGGTTAGAAACACTTGCTGGTATCACTAGGACATGGCAGGCAAAGCTTCTCCAGCACAACACACCCAGGGCAGCTTCAGTTCTGCTTTCCTAACTCACTGCTTCCCCCAACACCTTTCAGCTGCTGAGCATCCCTACAATCTTCCCTTTATGACAAGCGTAAAGTCCACAGTTCTTTCCTGAAATACAGGGAAGTGGTTGCACTCTCAACCTCAGAAAGAGAGCATCTCTCCAAAGTTCACTTTCATTAGCACAAAGGTTAAAACTCTTACTGTTAAAACCACAACAGCATAGAACCCAAGACGACAAGATGGGGATTAATTCTGCAAAACACACTTATACACCTGCTGCACCTGCCAAGCACTGTGAGAACAAAGCTCAGCTGTTCTACATACTATACAGTAAGTTCTACATAGTGCACAGTCAAAAATCTGACTTATCTCTGAGCACTGGAAGCATTACCTCTGATCCCGTAGCTTCTGATATGGTGGAGTAGGAGCTCTCGGGAGCCCAGGAAATGCACTCTACCACGTGCTCGTGTTCCCGGAGCTCAGCTTTGCATTCCTTCGTTGCTACCACCCAAACACGCACTGTCTGGTCGTTAGAACAGCTGGCAATGAGGGTACCATCCTGGTTGGGTCGCACCATGCGCACCCATTCTCTGTGTCCCGTGAAAGTCTTCACACAGTAACTATTCACAAAAACAGAAATAAAGCATGACTCAGTTAACATTGCAATAAAACCACTGCACATGCCTTTAAGGACGCTTGACCAGCTCTTAGAAGATAAAATATATTCTCTGTGTCCCGTGAAAGTCTTCACACAGTAACTATTCACAAAAACAGAAATAAAGCATGACTCAGTTAACATTGCAATAAAACCACTGCACATGCCTTTAAGGACGCTTGACCAGCCCTTAGAAGTGAAGATAAAATACTTCAGCATGCACGTGTCCACCCCAGGGGCTGACGGACAAGGCCATCAAACAGCTCATGGAAAGGAAGCTGACAGGAGGGAGAAGTGACAGCCGAGAACTGGCAAATCCTTGTTAAGAGACAAAGCAGGAAGCTTGGGGGAAAAAACAAAGTTGACAGAACAGCTCTCATTAAATAAGTATTTTAAGAACAAGTAGAGATTCACAGTCATTCAGACAGCCTGCACCTACTACTTCTAGCAAATGGGTGGATTAAAGAGACAACTGAAGAATGAAACAAGACGACAAAAAAAATAATCAAGAGACACTTGGATCTACGTCAAGAAAGGGAATGGATTTCTCCTCCCTCCTCTCGTGTTCCCTTTAAACTTGTGGTACCCACAGAATTTGTATCCCTCCCTGGTCCTGAGTTAGGGTGTTCCACCCTCATTGCTCCCAGAAAGATAAAGCCAGGTAGGTTTTAATTGGGCAGTACCAAAACTCTGTGCTTAATGGTTTAAGGCAGAGTCCTTAGGTGAGTTGTCTAAAAGGTACAATATCACACCTCAATTCAAACGACTTTTGCTGACACTGCAGATCTGTGTGGCCCATTTCCCACAGCCAGTGGTTTGTGCCTGTTGTGTAGAGGGGAGATGTTTCACCAGAACCACACTTACCCTGTCTGGACTTCCCACATTTTGATAGTTTTATCCCTTGAGGCAGAAACTATATGATCTCCATTGGGCATGATGGCTACTGAAGAAACATTATGATCATGACCTAGAAACGAAATCAAATCTTTATTAATCGGTACTGGAGCAGTTTTTACAGAGCACACAGGAACAGCTATTCTTTTATCTTAGACCAGTAGCTACAGCAGTAGTGCACGTTTTATGGAATAATCTTTACATGTAAAGGTCCTCACAGAGAGGCATCCAAACCTCACTGCAGAACCCTAACACTTCACACATCTGATACTGGGTTCTAATAAAACACTGCACTGCATTGGTTCAAGAACCAGCTGCATACACACAACAGTGAGTCCTGCAGCTGAGACAATCAATGCTGAGTCAGGAAAGAGCATCCACATCATTTCCTTAACACAAACTCCTCCTGACCTCCTGTACATTGTTTCAGCTCTTGACTTTACTCACCCCACAAGTAATGGGCCATAACACAGAAAAGGGAGATAACACACACTGTAAAGGCTATTAATTTCCAGTATTACAAAAATTAGAACTTAAACTTCCCAATGGCAAACATTAGAATTAACTGGTTTGAAATGTTTGTATTATCCAGAACAACCTGCTGGGTAGGGGCTTTTTGACAAGTCCAGTGTACAAGCTTGACTATAATATTTTGTATATAATCCATGCACTCATCTGTCTTTAAACTCCAAAACTGTCCCTTCTAAAATTGTTGGGACTAGAAATGAATCTTCTGAGATCAGCAGTTTAGAATATATAAGTTCTCAATTATTTTCTTTTTACTTCAAACTGAGTTGAAAGGATGTAATTGGCAAAGCGTGCAGCTCATTCACCCACTTGTGTTACAACATCCAGTTCATAAATATACACAAGCTACATGTGTGTTCATACAGAAATCTCTAAAGACCCAACACCCCCAGCAGCACTACTTTATTTTCTTGCCATCAGCCCGCTGCAACACCTGCTCTTCCTCTCCAAGTGTTCTGTGCTGTTTAGAGAACCATATGCACAAGAGGCAACAGCTTTCTGTTTTCCTTGGTATATGCGTGTGCCTGTTTTATTTTCTTAAGTCTCAAACATTCTCTATTCCTACACCCCACTTCTACAGGAAAATATTAAAAGCAAGCAGCAGTATAAAAATGCTTTTACATCAAGACTATAAAATAAAAGTTGCAGTCAATCTTATAGTTGTGGTTGTCTGACTTTCCCATTTTTTCCTATGGCTTTTGAGTCTGAAGCAAAGGGCCCATTGACTGAGACGGGCCGCGCTGAGCGCAGCCGCCCGGGCAGTGTCTGCACTAATTGCTTCCCTCCTGAAGCAGCTCGTCAGGGAAACAGAGCAAGGAAGACAGTAGCCCTTTCCTGATTTGAAGCCACAGTTTTACTGCCTACTAAGCATTTAATTTTTAGCGCTAAAGCCCTATAACTGCCATTTCATTAACATTATGGGCTGCTTCCCACAGCATCAAGCATAGCAGATTTGAGATGCTATTTCATCCCATAGACACCAAACACATACTTCATTTACAAAGCACTCAAGGCATCAAAACGTGCCCCCTCTTTCTCTTGGACAATACTCTGGTTTATAACCCCTTTCCACATCAGCAGTTTTCCTGAATGGAAAAAAAATATTAAAAATCTCTTCACTTTACCGACTAAATCAATCCCTTTTATACCTTACCATGCATAGTTCTGATGCACTCAAAGCCCTGGAAATCCCATAGCTTAATGGTCATATCAGCAGAACAGGAGGCCAATAGTTTGCCAGTGTGGTCAAAGGAAATATCTTGCACAGAGTCTGTATGTCCCTTAAGGGTTCGTTCAAAGTCTCCTGTCTCATAATCCCACACCTGACAAGTGAACAGAAAATCCGTTAACAGCAACCTATTACTTTGTACTCTCCAGCCTCACATTTGCACTCTGCAGGCCAGTCTGGCACCTTACTCAATAATTAATTGAGCAAGAGACAAAGAGAGCCAGCCCTAAAAAGCCTAACAGCATAGAAAAATAAGCATTATTTTTATATGATTTTGTAACTTAAAAATTAACTGGATTCATGCATCTTGAAAAGTGTTCTTCAGCTAGCTTAAACCATTAAAGACAGCAGAAAAATAAATTCCATTTGTATCTAAAAGTCTTAACACCCAATACCCTTAAAAACAAAGAAGATCCATTTAGAAGACATCGGACATAATAAATCCACTTTGTACAGATGGTTTTCCTCCACCCTTTCTAGGCTTGTTCCTGAGGAGCAATACAGCCCATCTCCAGCTGGTGGGGAAAGCATCACCTTTAACAGCCCCCTCGCCCTCTCCCGAGCTTTGCTGTGGCTCCAGAGCCCAACAGCAAATACTGTGTCCTCAGGAGCCACACTGCGAATGCACCGGTGTAGGGATGATAATCCAAACCACTCTGAAGAGGTTGATAGGCACACACTAGCAGATTACACAATTTGTCAGAGATTAAATAAACATTTGCAGTTAGTAACTGCAAGATAGCATGAAGTCCCCATTCTCACCTCCTAATTAAGTCAGTCTTCCATCATCTAACCACAAACAAAACCCTTTGAAACAAAACAAGCTCCTACAGATTTGTCGCTCTCAAGCACAAAATTAGACATTTCATTTAAAATTATATCCTAAGCAAACCAAACTTCAAAAAACACAACAACAACAAAAAATTCATCATCCCAATAGACCCCGAGCTGCCCCGCTTTCAGCTGGCCCTGTCTGCCTGGAGAAAAACACACCCAGCCTCCACGTTCAACTCTGCTGCAGGAACAGATTAAAGCTTTTCATGAACTAGATCTGGTTGCTACCTTTTATTTTAATCTTCTCCAACAAGCAGCCACTATTAGATCATGTTGTGTTTTTAAGCACATCACTTAATACACTACTCAATGCTTTTCAAAACAGCACTTTTCCAAATAGTTTTCAAAGCAGCATAGAAGAGAACAATGAGAAGCATCCTTTATTGGGATAATTCCCTTTAATTGTGACATTCAAACAACAAGAAAATGCCCAATCATGTTTTTATTGGATGCTAAAATGAGAAACTACTTGCCTATTGCAGCAAATCTCTTCCTGCCACTGTACCCTGCAATAAAGGCTACAAAGACCACTGAAAGTTACTCAAAGTCAGGGGGACTTCATGAGACTTGTGTGTTCCATTTACTCTAAATAAGGAGAACTCATTTTCAGTTAGGATTACAGCTGTGTAACCACTTCAACTCCACTTTAAAAACAATCACTTCAGATGACCTGAGGCAACTGTCCTCCTGCTTCTCATCACAGCACTCTGTACACTGTGCCACTGCTCCTCAGAGCACTCAAAATGCACCTTCCCCCAGTGAGCCTTCATCTATTTCTCCAGTCTCTAAATCCACATTAGCTCAATTATCTCTTCTTCAAGCCAAAGGACAGCAAAATACTCTTGAAGATATTAACTGGACCAGCATAAGCTAAAATGTGTAGATTACACAGGACACCCTACTTGAAAGAACTGTCCCTATTGGAGCTAAAGCAGAATCTGAAACAAATGATCTTCCATCAGTACAACAGACATCTGGCCTGAAATACTAATGTTACATATTACACATCCTCTGACTTCATTATTTTCATCTTCTGTAGCAAACACATACCTTTATTGTGGCATCCTCTGAAGCAGAGACCATAACACTGAAAACTGGATGGAAAATTACTCGAGTGACAGGACTCCTGTGTCCACTCAAGGCATACTTCTCTGGAGGACGAGGAATCCACTCCTTGGGGTCTCGTTTCTGACCAAGAGGTCCACCTGATGTAAATTCTTCCTTAGCTTCATTCAGCTTCGACTCCAATTCCATTACCTAAGTTTAAGAATTTTAAGGAGACATTCATTTCTAGTTTTATACCAAGTTCTAATTCACCTTCACTCATTAATAACCCAAATACCAGGATTCACAGTAAAGCAAGCATGACCTGGGTCCAAACTGATTAGCAACATTCAATAGTGTTGGTATTTCTAAAATTATAATTTATTCTTTAACAATCTAATCATTAAATATGTTTGAGCTACTATTTTGACAAACTATCAAAGGAGGTTCTGTCAACGAAAAAGAATGTGACTACTGCACTAATTCTCTGTATCCCCAAGATGGCACCCGTGTCACCCAACAATAAACCCTACATACATTAACCTTCACAAGAGATAGGTCTGTTGTTAGCACACAGATATTTTTTTTTTAAGCTTTTAATACACTCTAGATCCACTGAAGCATTACTAAACCGAGTTTTGTACTGTCCACTTGCAGTAGAATCACTTGCTCTAATGCACTGGAGTTAATGGTTTCTTCTCTTTAATGTAATGGCCAACAACAACCAGCCGCACGTTTCTACCTTCCTCCTAACCCCATCAAGGCTTCAGGAGACGACTATTCAATCTTTCCACTCACAAACTGCCTGAAGGTACCTCTTTCCTCTCCAGCTTCAGAAACTGCACATGCAATCTATGGACTGCAGTCAAGCATTTTTTATAAGGAAATTTTTAGAGGATGTCTCTGCCAGCAGAGATAGACAAAACATTCCCTACAACATGGAGTTTGCTGTTTTCCCTACTTAAGTCCACAAAATTCATCTTTGAGGCATCACTTTCTAAACCCTGCATTTGTCTGACAAGGAAAGTACGTAACATCCTTGCCAGTGACGAATGTTCGCTATCAGTCATAACATTTTATACACATCAATCCATCAGATCTCTACTTACCTTCTTTTGTAATCTGATAACAGATGTCCATTTTTTTTCCAGAAGTCCAGCATACTTCTTATCTAACTCTTCATTCTGAGGATGAAAAGCATTTAAATAAATAAATTCTCATTCTAAAGCCTGTAGAAGTGTTTCTTCAGAGACAACACAAACAGCTCATTTTAATAAAGATCTCTTGACCACAGGAAGAGAAGTTCAAGCAGAAGACCATCATCAGTTTTACTAGTTACACAGAACAACCACACGTCAAATTTTCATGGCTACAATTTACATAGACAGAAAAGCAGAACACATTCTCAAAGATAGCCTCCTCGCTCATATCCATCCACTAGATGGAAACTAATGAACTCACCCCTCCCAACAAAGGCTGTGCTAGAGCTGTGACTCCTCAGCACAACACTCACGGAGAATCACACTGTTTGAAGGTAGGATTACAGATACTCCACCTTGCCTGACAACCAGTTAGCCCAAACTAACTAATTTTTGGGTTTTGTTGGTTTGGGGTTTTTTTGGATTTTTTGTGGTTTTTTTTATAAATCCTTGATTAGAGTTAACCTCAAATTATCACCATAAAATTGCATTACTTTGTGCTACCTTCTCAGAGACAGGTGTTAAGCACACTGTCCCACACCTGTACTCGGTAAGTGAAGCCGAAAGCAGAGCATGCAGCCGCCCTACTGCACATCACTCCAGCTCCTGCAGGAATCAACACTGACTTTGCACCTCTAATGAAACTTTAATGAAGAATAATCTTCTTCCACTCCATATTTCTCCTTTGGGCCCTAAGGAATAGCTGAGGAGCAACACTGCACAGCTGATGGTACTGTAAAAGCCAGACTATTACTCTTCCCCCCGCCCCAGAAACACAAGAAAGAAGAACGGAAGCTACACAGGGAAACACATCAGAGGCACAGAAGAGTAATTTAATGCTGCACACTTTCTCTCCATGTACAAAATGACTATCTGGTACTAGAATAATTCTAAATTAGCTGGAAAACAACAAAGGCGTGGAGAAAACAACAATGGCCAGGCTTGCTCCATGAAACCCCTGAGGACTGGGCACCTCGGTCAGAGAGCAGATGTTAACCTGCTACTGCAGGGGCGTTTGTGAAAACTGGAGTTATCTGCAGAATAATCAATACGAAAAATGAAATCCTTCTTTGTAAAACTACACTTAAATCGTTTCAGTTTACTGAAATAAATTTCTGCCTTTAACCTTTTTTTTGTCATGTTAGTATAGACCCAAACAATTTGGATTTTCTTGCAAGGAAGTCATGTGAAACTTTTAGCAACTGCATTTTCTCTTTCCCTCAGGACCACCCAGCCTATTTAGATCGCCTTCTTAACCTCTGGGAAGAGAAGACTTAATTAGGTTGATAGATAAGGCAGATAAGGCAATGGTATTAGGATTTTCAATATTAAGTATGGTATTGCAATTTGACATTTCTACTTATTTATTAGAAACAGGAAGCAGATTGGAGAAACTAAGTCAAATTTCAGCCAAGCATTCTGGAAAAAGAACAATTCAAGACTTATAATAGAGAAAAGGCAAGGACTTCTCAAAAGTCAGCGCATAGGAGTTTACTACTCAATCCAGGTATCTCCAGAGAAACCGACACTCAGATGTAACACACATCTCCTATGCTAATAGGTGGAAAGTTTAAAAATGATACCAAGAATCATCTATTACAAAGGCAAATTAATAGAATTCAGTTGCAAGAAATGACTCATCTAAGTCAATAGCATCTATAGAGTCTAACAAACCCAGCCTGTTCCCCAGAGCTGATCACTTCTATTAACCATTTAGACTGCCCCAAAGCTCAGGGGTAACCAGCTGGTGTGTGGTTTCAGGCAATGATTTAACTACTGACCCGATTCCAATCGCAAAACAGACCCACCACTGGCTCTGTGTGATAAAGCAGAGGACAAAAGCAACCCTGTTTTGTCCTGTATCTTAAACATTACCACAAGAAGTCAGCCTCCAAAGCTGTACAGTCTTAGACTATTTCAAACCTGGTTACAAGAGACCAGTCTTCAGGTTTCTAGTTTTGTATCGCAGAAGTTTATGCTTTTATGCAGAATTCCAAGATAAGAGTAAGCGCAGTCAAGGAAACGAGTTACAGGGAGGAGAGGGGGGATGGACACAACAGCAGGAAATAGAAATTAGTTGTGTTCTAATTAGACACATTCTTCTGAATATTAATCACAGAATAGTTCAGGTCAGAAAGGGCCTCTTGAGATCAGGACATCCAAACCCTCTGCCCAAAGCAAGGCCAGCTGGAGGAGCCTGCCCAGGACCAGCCCCAGCGAGGTCTGGGGGACCCCCGGGGACAGAGCCTCCACCACCCCCAGGGAACTATTCCAGCGCTCGGTCACTCTCACGGGGGAAAATCCTACCTCCAGTTCTGAAGCTGCATGAGCTGACAGGTGATAATTGATGTAATAGATACACATGTTCAGAATGGATGCAAGTGCCATACAATTATAGACTCTTTACTTAAAACATAGATGAAGAATCTTGCTTGAACTCACCACATCTAACTCAGCTTCCTTTTTAAAAACCGAATATGCCTCTTCATAGCCATTAGAACGAAGGTAATCTGCTATCGCTCGATTTCTAAAAAAGAAAGAACAGTGTCTTCAGACACAAGTCTCAATAGAAGAATTGGTTCAGACTTTTAAAAAAGCACAATCAACATCTAAGTCTCCAATGCAAGACAACACCGAGGATTATTTGATTTGTTAGAAGCCCAAGCAAGTTTCACAAATACATTTGGGAAACAGATTTTGCTTTGAGATGTCAACAGCAGGACACACTCTTCACTTCGTTACTTCCACCTCACCATTAACACACGTACTCTTCAACAGTTCACTTCGTTACTTCCACCTCACCATTAACACGTACTCCTTAACAGTGTTTCCAGAAAAAAACTTCAGAGAATTGCTAAAAAATTTGTAATCCTGAACATGTTTAAACCCCAGAACTCCTCCACATCTAATGAACAGTTGTAAAAAGCATAATTTGCAGATTTCTTCTACTTTAGGAAATAGAACAACAGTTGAAGTATACAAAAACTCCTCCACATCTAATGAACAGTTGTAAAAATCATAATTTGCAGATTTCTTCTACTTTACTTTAGGAAATAGAACAACTGTTGAAGTATACGAAAGAGAACAGTAAAAACACATACTATACTTAATGTAAAGGGGGTCAAATCATTACTGGAAAAGTGAAGAAGCTGTATTAAGAAAAAAAATAATAGAGAGCACTTACCATGGACAAGAGAGACGCGTAACAGTGAATTACACTTGGGCAATACTTTCAAAATGAATAAAAAACCAAAACTAAAACCAAACCACAAGCGCTATGTCAGTTTGTGAAACCAAGTATCACAGGAGACATTGCCACCCCGACTGCCGCCCACCACTCACTATCACCATTTATGACAGAGGAGAAAGCAAACTAAGGCACAGGACTTGCCAGCCTATTCCTTAGACTCTGGAAAGGATTCCGTATCTTAAATTGAATCAAGGAGAGGGTTTTATTATTTTGTTTGGGGTTTGCTTTTTTTTTTCTCCTTTAAATAAACTCTCCATTTTAAATACAATATAGGAAGTCAAAGATTGTAATCACAATGTAGCACATTCTTATCTACATTTGGGAGTAAAACAGCAAAAAATTGTTAGAGTTTACTCAAGACAGAAGTAGAATTCACAAATCAGTTTGGAGCATATCTTGCAATGCGCTTGCTGCTTACTTGAACCCTTTCATAACTTTGTGACTGAAGTCAAAACAAAATAGAGGATAATAAATTATATCAAATTTAATAATTCCTTTTTTGTGCCATAACTTTGAAATTGTATTTTCACCATTTCACAATTCTATTATCAAATACCAGCAGTTGTATCAAAAATAAGAGTATAGAGATCTAAACCGTAATACATGGTACTTGGTCAGCATGTGAACACAGCCACCCTGTAAAATCTATTTGGAAACAAAAGTTAATATTTAAAGTTCAATGAAAACACAACACAAATTTAAAAATAACCATTCCTTACAGTTCATCTCGTTGCCTTTGTGACAGCACCATGGTGGCTGCGATGTCAGGTTAACGTGATTCAGCAGTGGCTGTCTCCTCGAGGTCTGAAGTCTAAGGAGCCCTGGATCCACAATTCAGTCTGCCACTGAGTGGCTTAAATCCAAGATATTTTTCCAGATGTGAAATCCACTAGGAAATCCGGAGGCATTCAACACAGAAGATTCAATCCATCTAGAAAGTGGAGAAAGAGATACCATTAATTTCCTTTAAATAAGCATTCGGTCACCCTGAACTGAGGGGAAGATTTCTGTGCTCAGATTGCAACACCCCTTTGGGCAGAACAATTTGACAAAGTTGTAAAGGTAATTTTATTTTGCTAGTGAGGATTATGCCCTTATGGCCTATCTCCAGCCTGGGTTGAGCAGTCTGGAGAGACTTGGACACTGTCTTCATTCCCCATCTTCCCACCATCAGTCCTTCAAGAAGGGAGCAGAAGGAGAGCTCAGTCACAGCTCAGTTCTAGTTTGGAGGCAGCTGCACCATCTTTTCTTGTGATGAAAAGCCCTTAGGCCTACCATGAACTGTTTGCACTCACTACTCCTGCCAAAAAAACTACCCCTCTAAGAAGTCTAGCATAAGGACAGAGGATTTATCTTCCATCAACCAAACCCAGCAAAGTTGATTCAGTTAATTTTCCACACGCACCAGAGATCAGCTAATGCTTCAGCTGCTTTCAGACCATGGCTCCATCAGTGCACATCTGACAACCCAAGTTCATTCAGAGTAAAGGTGAAATTTGACCTATTCCAGATACTGCTCAAATCAGGGCCTTGCACAAATTACTGTTTCTCCCCCCACACATTATTTAACATCTTCTTATGCACCACGAACTTCAGTATTCTCAGTGCACAATCTACTTCCACTGGACAGTTTCAATCCCAGTCAAGGCGACACCACCAGAACCATTTCAGCAGCACTGCCTTTTGGTTTCTGCACTGCAGGTGCTCTTAGGTAAGGAACACCACTATGAAAAGTGCTGAAGTTAGCATTTCTTGCATACCTGAGGAGAGTCTGTATATAACACCTCATTCACTCAAGCCGTTAAGCAAGTTTGACCAACCAGCTTTTAGCAGCGAGAAAAACTGAACGTGACAATACACAGAAACTGGGAAACACTGGTGGGTTTGTAAACTTCCTACCTGTGCTCCCACTGCCTCTCCCCTGCTGTCCCTCCACCAGACACAGAGCTGCACAAGACTCACTATAAAAGCTGGATAATCATGTTGGTCAGGAGTCTGCTTTAAACAACAGCCTTTCTTACATGAAAAAAAGTAAAGAAAATACTTAGCTCGTATCATTAATGTCTGCTTATCCATCCCAGGGATCAGGAGCTTGTTTCCAAACCTACTTGGGCTCAGCTGTCTGCTTCAGAATAGGCTTAAGCTGCAAGTTCCTTGTATTTCACTCTGCTGGTGGATTTCCCACCTCTAACACTCCACACCACCACCCCGCAAGCTGTTTAGGACAGGAGCAGCTAAACGGGCAAGACGTCATTTTATATACTGTGACCTCTTCCCCAATAGCTATTTGAGAAACAATTCTGTTGAAAACTGCCAGCAGAGGCTGCACCCTTCCAGAGGGCAGGAGCTGCACTTACTCTTGTCCCACACCTTGCTTCCTGACAGGTAGAGACACAACTGCTTTGCCATAGATGCATCTTCTTCACTACACAGTAGGAGTATCATATACAAATTAATGGAAAAGTAGTTAATATTTGAAAAAAAAATAATCTATTGAAATGCTCAGAAGAAGTGCCCTCTAGAGGGCAATGCTGCTGTAAATTTAAGTACTGAAAACCAGAGGCTTATAATGGCTGAATCTCTGCACTTCATTATGAACATAGCAACGCGCTCAGTAGCGATAAACATTGGGGAGAAGAACAAAACAAGGCACGTCTTTAGCCACAGAAGCACTGCTCGAAGCACTGAACAGCCAAACACAGATACACAAACTTCTAAAATCTGCTTATAGTACTACCATGGTAAAAATCACAGTATTAAAACCAGAAGGTGGGGTTTATATTATGAACTACCACTAAGCAGTGAATGCCTTGTAAATCCAGCATCACTGCAATGACTCCAGGAAAAATCATACTCCAATATTTTGTGAAATTTGTCACAGGGTCCAGGCAGATGCAGCTACAGCACTTGCCTAAAAATAACAGCAACTATATTTATAAGGCGATCCCTGACATGTCATCTAGTTAGGAAGGCGTTTGTTCCCCTGAAATATGAAGTAACCCCGAAGTTCTCCCCCTGTATCCCCACCACTCAGCGACACACAGCCCTCTCCATCGCTCTAACCCTGCACTGCTCAGAGCCACATCTCAGTGCTAGATACACCCCAGCAGCTTCAGGGCAGAGCAGCCATTTCTGCTCTTAGCAAATTACAGCTGCTCCACAGTAAGTTACCAACCAACTGATCTACAGTATCTCGCTGCATGGAAAAGTGTGTGTTCCAAGCACCCTCCTCAGTATTCCTCACTTAACATAATGCAAAGTGTTTTTAGGGCAATTTCCTTCATATATACCCTTTAACAAAAGACAAAACAAACCAAAAAGAATGAAAATAAACAGAAAAAAACACACAAAAAAAAACCCCACCCAAGCAAAACAAAAAAGCCTAAAAGGACCCAACTTTAATTATCGAGCTGTGCCAGGTTTAGGAAGAGCAGGGAGTAGGTGACTACTGTCCACGTGCACTCCTGTTCTCCAGCAGAGAGGGCTAGGACATCCACCAGTCTGTGGAGCCAGCCCAACCAGTCCTCCCCATCGCCTGTCGGGAACAGTCACCTCTGTCACACACACCCACACCACCTCAGTCAGGGGAGGAAGGAACTGTTCAAAGAGAAACCTTGGCAAAAAAAACCCAACAACAAAGAAAAAAACCCGCACACCAACAAAACCCCTCCACCTGCTCATTACACCTTGTCTAAAATCAGGCATTTTTAGTATCAGCAGCTTTACTGTGAATAAGCTGAGGTCAAGACAGAGCTGGATCTTTTTGAAAGAAAAGATGTCTTTGTATGAAAATTTTAATTTGTTCTGTATTAAGTATGGACAGCTCCATGGAGTAACAGCTCTTAATTAAATGTAAAACTGGTAGAAATGTCTGAGCAAAAGGATAAAAGATCTAATTCAATCCCTAAATGCTGTAGGCCTGGAGTGGCACACTGAAGCAGCATCTTTTAAAAATAAACAAACTATTAGCCAAGATTCATCACAGGCCAGATTTTTTTCCCCTTACAAAAGCTTCTAAAACATACAGAATTATTGATGGAGAGCAACGAATTGGGCAGAAAAACCTGAAAAGCAGAAGAATCCTTCTTTGTAAGGGAAGGTGCAAACAGTACAGAATAGGTTGTTCTTTCTCATTTTTACAAAACAAGGAGTGGAAGTGCCTCTCTCTCCATGTCTGAGAATGGCCTTCCAACTTCCTAAACTGGAATTCAGAGAGCCCTTGGCTTCACCCAGTCCAGCCTTTAGCTGGAGCCAGCCATGGACTGCCCCACACTTCTACTCCCATGGGAATGCTCAGGGATTCTGCCTGACAAGCATTTAAGAACAGGCCCACCCTGACGGTGACTAAACACACACCTTTTGCAAGTGGTTAGTGTAAAGGCACTGCCTGAGTCACCTCACGCTGGCAGTGGACAGCCCAGATCTGATATTGCACAGAAACCACCCTCTTCCTGACGGTGACTAAGAACCCCAACAACTCAAGAGAGAGTTGCTTCTTCCTGCCATCAAACAGCAGGTCCTCACACCGATCTCTATCGGCGTGGGCCGAGTGTTTCCTAGATGACTGGAAGCCTTGGCAATCACTTCCCAAGCGAGACCTGCTGACCATCCTGCAGCGCACAAACAGCTTGTATCTAGCTCAGGCTGCTCACCTACTCTGCAAACCTACAATGAGACTAAACAGAAGTTTTCAAACACACTTGAAGACAGAAGTTTCTAACATCAAACCCGGGCTGCTTTCTTAGTTTTAACTACTAAATAGTGTTTCTGGACTTTACCCTTGACTGTTGATTACTGCAATTAATTACCACATAGATACCCCAAGACACCATAGCTCACCCAAATATTTTATAGCAGAAAAAATAACAAAACTTTCATCCTGTTTCACCTAAGCCCTTTGTTTTACTATTGTTATGACTCTGTTTAGCAATCGTAATAACTCATCACTACCGCTTTAATCGGAAAGTTTTATCTGTACGTGGCAGCCTAACATTCAACTCTTTCAAAGTAACACATATATTGTACTTTGACAAAATTGAAGCCATAAATACAGAGGTCAAAGAAACCATTAGCTACCAGTTATTAACTCATGATATAAATTATACCTTCAGCAAGATGCTACATTGGTCCCTGCAAGGTATTAGATCAGTCAGGGATTTAGCATCCCAGGAAGAATGAGGGCTTTTGTCCATTAAACTGCCTTATGAGAATCACATCACAGAAAGGAACGGCACTCGGTGCCTGCCAGCAACAACCAGGCTTGGGAGCTTCTCCACCAACATGTTTCTTACCAAGTTCTTACAAAGCCCTTGCAAACCCTTAAAACTGTTAGTTTAACAAAGAAAATCAGTTTCAACATCATTCCTTGGTTCACAACACTGGCAGCAGCAGCAGTTAAATAGAGCAGGGTCACCCTGCTGCTGCCTGGCCACTTCCAGCCACTGCTGGCCAGTCTGTTCCCACAGGTCAGAGCTCCTCCAGGAACTTCAAAATAAATTAATTCAATTTCTGCAGTTTTAACAACCGTTGCTTAGGCTCCATAAACAATCTTCCCTACAAAAACACAGGCTACATACACTAACCATGTAACTGTAGCTCATTATATCTGAAATTAGAAGAGATAGATGGCACAAATCACAGAGCAAATGCATTAGCAGATACAGAACAGACCAACACCTCTCGACTCGGAGCTTAGAGTTGTGTACTGCTGGGCTTTAACAACAGGCAATTTGGGTGGGTTTGGTTTTTTTTTGCAGAATGCTAATACCCTAGTGAACTCAACTACAAGACCATTTGATTTCTAAGTATAATTATGTCAAAATCACGTATTTAGGAATATTCTACAAGAACGTTCCTTTGAAGGAGACCAGATCTGAGACCACGTTCCCAGCCTGTCAGGTTGGGCTCACCCGATACCGAGTACCTGGGGGTGAAAAAGGCACAAGCCATTAC